TTTGTAATCTTCGATTTCATTTTATTTGCATCATTTTTGCGAAATAAAAAAACTAATAATGAGAATAATATCAAATGAAGAAGAAAAGTAAAGGAAAACAAATCCACATTTAAAATTAATTAATTAATTAATAATAAACACATATGTGATCTTGAGAAAAACAGACATTTCAAATATTCATATTCAATATTTCTATCCAAAATGACATTTATACAAATTTATTTATCATATTTTATTTATTTATCATATTTATATAGCCACCCATCTCACATAAAGGTGACTCTGGGCAGCGTAAAAGTGACTTGGGCTGCATGAGAGCAATCTGCTAGGAAAAGTATTGTTAATACAAGTTTTAACAACCCTTAGTATTATTTTTAATAGCACTGTTATTAATAAATGGGGACCAGATTTGATTAACTATGTCCTTTGTTGTAGAGTTTTTCAAAGCTTTTGTTGTGTTAATATTTTGGTGCAATCAGTTTCCAATACTTTTAAAAATCAGTGTTTTTCAGTAACAAATCTAGCAGTTAACAATAAGAACTGAAGCAGTTTTGTTATGCTGCATCAACTTATAAACATTTTGGTAATAATCAATGGCAAACCAATTGCAAGAGTCAGTGTAAATTATTGTTGGCTAATGTTTCCAATTGCTTTAAAATCGCTTGACCAAAAGGTTTTGACTAATGGCCTCTCACCACCAAAGGGCTCAGTCTCCATTTGAAGCTTTAATGAGGTGCAGGCAGTTCAGAACATAGTGTCCAATTCTTAGAGGTATCCAGGAAGAAGCAGGACAGCTGTCTCTCTGGGATGCTTTAATTTGAATCCATGCACTGAGCAGAGAATTGGCCTTGATACCCTAAACCAGGTATTTTCAAGCCTTTTCAGGCCATGGAACCTGTTTAAAAAAAAACAATCCCAGAACCCCTGATCAAGAGGCAAAGCTCTAGTAATAGAAAATTAGTTGCATTTTTCCCCCATAGTTTCTCATAGAACCCTAGGGTTCTATGGAACAAAGTTTTTAAAAACCTGCTCTAAATGGCCCCTCCTAGTCCTACAATTCTGTGACACAACTATGACAGTCAGAAATTGTTATGATTATTCATTTATTAATGAATGAACTCTGCTGAAACAATGGTTTATGATATCTGTTCTTGAGTAGATTTTTTATTTAGCCAACTAATATGTACAGTCTTTCAGTGATGGCTTGCTTGTCCTCCCAGTACCAATAAACTGATGAGGCATAATAAACTATACCATCAATTCCCAACTGCTTTAAGTATTTTTGGGGACTCTGAAGAGTTTCAAAAGGATGCTTCAGTGAAACACTTTTGCTACCCAGAAGAAACTTCTCCACATGCACAGTATTTGTGCAGCGTCTCTTTGAGCACTTTCAAGCAACTGTTGGAAGCACCAGAAGAGGCCCTGTTCATACACGGAAGCCTCTTCTGACAGCTGGCACTGTCAGACAAGAGACTCAAGGCAAAGTGAAGCAATGCAGCAGCTTTGCTTCACTTCACAAAGTAACTCTTCATGGGGCTTCCAGACTACTGGAACTGCCAGAAGAAAATCACCTGACCATAGTGCAAAGCAAAGCCCCTCATGCAAGCCAAGTATTTCTCTTTGTGCTTACTTCTGTCAAACATTTCCAGCACTCTCCTGCAGAACCCCAAAACAAGCTTTAGGAGATAGAAACTAAGGTATCTGGATGGCCCCAGCTTGGGGAGCGTGGTTGTGGATGGAAAAAAACCTGTCTGGTCCTGGCCATTCTGTAGTCTGCCAAGATACCCTTCGGATGTCTTTTCATGCTTTAGTCCATCTCTGCACTTCAGTGCTTTAAAAAAAAAAAATTCTTTTCAACTAGAGTTTGGAGAAACTTGATGTGCTGGATAACATTCTGGAAGTCAGCTACCAAAACTTCTGACATGCTGTATCACACAGATGTCATAAATAATTTGTTATCCTAATAATAATCTGAATCTATCTATCTATAAGAAAACCTAGCTTTAACTGTAAATGCTCTATTAATGTAATGTTCTCTTTGCTTGTATCATATGGAGATTACAGAGTGATAGTTGACTAAGTATAAATATGCCTTATTCCTGTATCTTTTGTTATTTCAGATGCAGATGAGGCTTACTTTGGCTCTGAGGACGACACTGAAAAAAGTTGCTTATTACTACAGTATAGCCTTGATTGCTTGTACAAAATCTTCCTTTTTGATTCTCATCATTTTGTGAGCAAAGAGAGGGCAGAAACATTGATGCTGCCTTTAGTCAATCAGGTTAGAGAGCAGTGACATTTCCGTTAGATTCTTACATAATAGATTTCCATTCTGCTGTGTAATTCTTTGACCATTTTTATAGATATACTTCATTAATTTGGGCTGGGTTCCTTTTGCTGCTTCCCTTATTACCAAACAGGCATACTTGGTTTAGAGCATGAATCGAGTGTCCTGATGTACTGTTTATAAAGGAACAATCTACCAAATACAATCGATGTTGTACAACCAGTGGTTAAATGCAATCAGTGTTCTTACCGATTCCAAAAAAGGGTATTAAAACTATTATATTTTTTTATTATTATTTTTATTTTTATTAGAATTTTTAAATACAATAAAAGTATAAAGAATCAAAGGATAGATAAGAAAAAGAAAAGAAGCTATTCTAAAAGTTCCAGCATAAAATTGTTTTAAGTAAGCAGTAAAGAATTTGGTCAGCTAACTAGCCCAACGTTGGTTGAAATGAAAAGGTTTCATTTTCCTCTTAGCATGCAAGTGATTTTATTTTTTCTATGTAGCTGGAAAACATGCTTGGAGGAGAAGCGAAATTCCAGGAGAGAGTGACGGCACATTTGATTCCATGCCTAGCTCAGTTTGCAGTCGCAATGGCAGATGACTCTCTGTGGAAGCCGCTGAACTATCAGGTTTTGCTGAAGATGAGGCATGCCTCACCCAAGGTAAATGGCAGACCTGTCAAGTTCTCAAGACAAGACAATGGCAAGCTTGTCAAGATCTGCTTTAGTCTGTGTTTAAGAATGTGATGCTCATTCTTTGGAAAGGAAAATAACATGCTTTAATATATAGCAGAGCAAAGCGTTGGGGGACAGTCTTTAAAAAACTGGAATTTTGTGATTGTGCCCAAATGTTGCTGGGGAGGCAGCAAGGCATTGGGCCGTTCTGAATGCAGTGACCTAGTGCCTTTCTTTTGTTTAGGTTCGATTTGCTGCCTTGTTGGCTGTGTTAGAGCTTGCTGAAAAAATAAGAGAGAATTATATGGTGCTATTACCAGAATCCATTCCTTTCTTAGCTGAGCTTATGGAAGGTAATGTATTGCATGTTGTTCTTGCATTGAATTACTTTTTCTCCATAAAACTACTTTTAATAAAGTATGGTTATCTTGCAGTTCCACCTTTCTTTTGGGACAAAGTATCCCAGTGTTTCTCAACCGTGACAACTTTAAGATGGGTGGACTTCAACTCTCAGATTCTGGGAGTTGAAGTCCACCCATCTTAAAGTTGCCATGGTTGAGAAACACTGAAGTATCCTATCCCTGTAGAAAACTGCTGGACTTCAGGCTGCTTGGTACCCACACACTAAACTATATTGTTAGGTTCTACGGGCACTTCTAGCCTTGGGTCTAAAATAGTCAAGAACAGATTCTTTACAGGATGTGTATTTTTCTCACAAGGAGAACTTTTTCTGTGGAGTGTTTTCAGCACTAATATACAGGGTGCACCAAAAGCCAAGCCGATCACAATACATTTTTTTTCCAGAGAAAATGTTACTGTAGTTAGGAACGCTCAAAATCATGGGTCAAACAAGTAAGGAAGTATTTAGAAGAAAATGGCAATGAATTCAAACAGTTAATGCAATTTATATAATTGTCTATGGCATCTTGAGTTTTGGTGTACCCTGTGTGTATATATGTACACACACTTTCTCTGTGTGCTGAGTTGCTCCAATACTAGATTGGGGAACCTCTAAAATTAAATCTGTAATTAAGCATGGGTGGAACCCCAACTATTTTTAATGTTTTCTGCAACTTGAGAGAGTTGATTCCCTCCTTGGGCAGAGCTAAATGTCTAATTTATCAATTTTGGAATAGCTTTGAGCTATATGCCTTGCAATATGGTGCTGGTTATTGCTTTTTCTCAAAACACCTGCTTTGGAGCCTACTGTGAAAGTTTCCTTGGAGGTTCCTCATCTGTTCCAAGTTTAATTTCAAGATTAATTTATAATATCAATGATACATATATTTTAAGACATTTATTTGAAAAGGTATAAGCTTCCTCACCCTGAGTGGTAATGTGCATTTGCAAACAACATACAAAAAATTGAAAGGCAGCTAAAAAAAAATCTCTAGAAGGCATGAGCATGGAGGGTGGGAGAGAAAAGATACAGAAGGACAGAACCCTAAATTGTTTATTTCTTTTTTGCCTCCTTGGCAGATGAATGTGAAGAAGTAGAGCATCAGTGCCAAAAGACCATTCAGCAGCTTGAAGTTATTCTTGGAGAACCACTACAGAGCTACTTTTAATCCCATCAGCTCTTCTGGTTTTAGAGGTTAAGACTTGCAAGGACCAAGAGAACATGACCTTTTTCCAACTCTTTGTTACATAGTGTTCTTTCACAAATATATTTGACCATTTTGCTCAATATTTATGCTAAAGGGATTTTAATTAAAATGTACCAGATTTTCAAGTGTAACCTCTCTGCATTGACATATCTTTCATATACAGTTTTTAAAAGGTTGCATTCCACTCACTTATTATACTGTATTAAGTTGTAATTTCATATCATTTTACTGGGCCACAAAGAAAAACTTTCTTTACCACATCTATACATTAATTTAGAAGTGAGGGAACAAATTCAACTTTCTTATTTCCCCATCTAGAAACTGATATGTCCTAGTTGAAGCTGAAGAACTGATTTCATCTTGGCCATCAATTCTTCCTGTTATTCACACCAAAGTACTTTAAGGAGACCATTAGTTTGTTTAATGGAAGATTCCACATTGCTTTGCACTTTCAGAATTTTAATTTTAGGTTGGAAAGCCATACATTCTCCATAAAGCTCAGCTGAAATTTATAATTGATTCTGAGCACATCAGAACTGTTTACAGATATTTTTGGTAACATTTAAAAATGCTAGACAGTGAGAGACAAAAAACAACTGCATAGGTAAACAGTCAGAATGTAAACATGTATATTACACAGAAATACACTTGGAAGACTGATGAGGCAATCCTGACTGAGTTCAATAGAGTTTCTTTCCAATTACATGTGTACTGGATTGCAATCTAATACTGGTGCCTCTAACAGTATTTTTCAGCTGTAGTATCAGAATATACTTTAAAGATAATAGTGTTAATCAAAAATTTCATAACCTTTATAACAAATTTAATGGGTATACACCTTAAGAATCCATCAAGCCTTTTGCTATGAACACTAGAATGTATGTCATAAAAGCACATAGAAGTGTTCTTCAAATATGTCACTTAAACTTAGGCACAATCTCAGTAGTTAGTAAACTATAATTTGTTAGAACATTTTTATGGTTAGTTATTACCTATATTACTTCAGTTAATTTAAGTGGTCACATGCAGAGGGATTTCTGCAATCTTCTCTTTTGCTGTTAGATCAAGATGATTCTCTGAAAGCAATTAATAAAACATAGGTACTGCACAACTACCAGCATCTTACATCTAGCAGTTGAACATCCCCGAAGACTTCCAGTATACGGATCTTGTCAAGCTGCTTAAATCGATGTTTGTACTCTAGGATATGCATGCCATTGATAGCAACATTATATTCATGATTTTTGCAGATAATTATCAGCTGAAATTCAGAAGGATAATGTCAATAGCAATATAGTCAACTTATAGGGCACTTTAGACAAGACTACCTTTGGAAAGGAAAGAATACAAAATACCACTAGATTAGAATTAAGATTGATCTTTCAAGAATCCTCTATCAAGTAGTCTATTTCAGTACATCCAACATTTTTTTTATAACGCTTAAGTTGATTTTCTAAATATATCCCCTAAAATAGTGGGTTTTTTACAATACAATGGATTGCAATATTGAAGCTACAAATAGTTAATAGTTCTTTCTGTTGTCAGCCTTCAAATCTGGAAAAGGAAAAATGTAATGCAAATGTCTGAATATCAGCTTGTTTCTACATAGTTACCAGTTTCTATACATCAAAGAACTATATACGGTAGAAGGTATATTGCTGGACCCCACCCTTCTGGACAATTTTTGTCCAGTTTCCCACCTTTTTGGGTAAGGTTGTGGAAAAGGTGGTCACACGACAGCTTCAGAGGATCCTGGAGGAAATGGATTATCTGGACCCCTTTCAGTCAGGTTTCAGGCCCGTAAGGTTGTGGAAAAGGTGGTCACACGACAGCTTCAGAGGATCCTGGAGGAAATGGATTATCTGGACCCCTTTCAGTCAGGTTTCAGGCCCGTAAGGTTGTGGAAAAGGTGGTCACACGACAGCTTCAGAGGATCCTGGAGGAAATGGATTATCTGGACCCCTTTCAGTCAGGTTTCAGGCCCGGTTATGGGACAGAAACATCATTGATTGCACTTTTAGATGATCTCTGGGGAGAGTGGGATGGGGGTAGTGCGTCCATCCTCACTCTTCTTGACCTCTCAGCAGCTTTCAATACCATCAACCATGGTATCCTTGTGGGTCGGTTGCGGGAGTTGGGACTGGGCAGCAGAGTTTTGTGCTGGTTCAGCTCTTTCCTCAAAGGCCAACACCAATCGGTGTTGATAGGGATAGAGATCCAGCCCACAGCCCATACTTTGTGAGGCAAAGCCTCAGGGTTCAGTGCTCTCACCTCTCCTATTTAACATCTACATGAAACCACTGAGTGAGATCATCTGGCACCATGGGATGAGGTATCATCAGTATGCTGATGATACTCCACTATATATCTCCATGATACTCAACTATATATCTCCAGGTGACTTAAGTGATGCTGTGTCTACCCTTTCGCAGTGCCTGGAGGCTGCAGGGGCCCGGATGGGGGACAACCGGCTTCAACTGAACCCTGGTAAGACAGTGTGGCTGTGGATATGGGGAGCCTCATGATCTAGGAGCTTCTCATCTCTGGTTCTAATGGGGTTGCACTACCCCAGACAGACCTGATGCATAATATGGAGGTCCTCCTAGACTCACGCCTCCTGTTTGAAGAGCAGGTGGCAGTTGCGGCTAGGAGGGCCTTCATGTTGTGCATCAGTTACGCCCCTTCCTGGATCAGGAGGCCCTCCACGCAGTCACTCATGCCCTTTTTGGATTACTGCAATGTGCTCTACGTGGGACTACCCTTGAAGAGTATTTGAAAGCTACAGCTGGCACAAAATGCAGCGGCACAATCTTGAATACCCTAGGGTGACACATATAACACCTCAGTTATGCAAGCTGCATTGGTTGCTGTTTTGCTTCCGGGTCCAATTCAAGGTGTTGGTTGTCACCTTTAAAGCCATTCATGGCACAGGACCAGGTTATCTGAGGAGCCATCTCACCTGTTATATCTGCCTGCCCCACTTGGTCCCGCAGAAGGGGCATGTTGCGGACCCCACCAGTCAAGGAATTTCAGCTGGCAGGGTCTAGGAAGACCCTTTTCTCCCGTGGCCCCTGCCCTGTGTAACAGCTTGCCAGCTGAGGTGCAAGCTGCCTCCTCTCCTGGCCTTCCAAAAAGGTATAAAAACATGGCTGTGCTGGATGGCCTGGGGGCCTGATGGGGGCTCGCATTGCTGGAGCTGGCTCGTGGGATGATTGATGCTGCTTCCCCCATCTTCTTGATTTGTATATTGTTTTTATAGATTTGTTATTTGTGTTTTAGTCAGGGGGTATTTATATTTTTATTGTTTTTATTCTTTTGGTTTTTAATTGTAAGCCACCCAGAATCACCCTCTGGGGGAAATGGGTGGCATATAAATTTAATAAATAAATGACTGGGTACAACACATGGTTTTCCATACATTTCACAGTAGCTGATCCCCTCCTCCAGCTTCACCTTTGATCCCAAGCAAATGTATGAATTATTAATACTATTTATTTATTTATATGGTCACCCAACTCAGTCATTGTGACTTCAGGTAGTGTACAACAGATATAAACAAACAATTTTGGTTAAAATGTAAAACATTAATAGGCAATATACAGATCAGTAATCTTGTTTAGTTCCTACCTCAAAGTACATTCCTGGACTGAAAGGAAAATAAGCAATAGATCTTTCTTCTTCTCCCCAGCTATTGAACAGATAAGAATTTCTCACAAAAACATTATCTTTTATTCGGGGATTCAAATGAAGAGCAATATCATTTGATTCACTGGGTTTAAGGTTAATTGCAAACCTGCAAATAAAAATGATGACATTAGTTATGTAGCCTTAGGTCATCTTTTCTCCAACTTAGTGTCCACTATTGTGTTCAGCTCTGCAGCTTCCCCTAGCCTTCCTTCCAATTTGTTCCTTGCCTTCAACTAGGATAGAGCTCTATTTTCATGACTTTCCTGCCATATTACATTCCATGTCAATCTTCACTACCACTTTTCTGGTGACATGGATATTTAACCTAGTTTCAAGTTTAAGCTTCAGTGCTAGTCTTGTTGGATAGATTGCCTTGGTGTTGGACACATATAGCTCATGAACCTTCTCAGGAGAAAAGTCACAGCATCAATTGCCTTCAGCCCACAATTCAACTAGCTTGCCCCTGATTCAGAATGTAGGTTAATAGAATAGGCAATAGCTGTGTCAATTTCTAGAAAGCTCAGCCTGCCAGATAATTCTTGATTCCAACTCTGTTAGCTTCCATGTAAGCTAGGGCTATTATGAGCTAGAATCGTCTTCTGTTGTAGACATCTATACTGAATGCATAGCTGTTTACAAGAGTTAGCAGGTGGGAATTACACAGAGTGCACTGAACAGATGACACAAGGCTAGTATCTGTCAGGCCCACTTAGGTAAACCAGGCCAGAAAATCAACTCTAAGGAAGACTAAAACTATACTTTATTGAGATAGGCTATAATAACAGAATCTTGCAAGTCTGTGCTATACCTCCCTTCCTTCTTATACTTCAGTGATCAGGGAGGATGAATATTATCTTGTTTCTCGAGATTTAAAGAATGCTTCAGTCCCCTCTGCCTAATTAATGGTTCTTGCATATTTCCATCAAGATCATCTCCCTGTCTACATTACCGTAGCCAAATCACATGTGAATCAATTGGAGAAGGTAGAGGGTAGGGAGACGGCGAGTTTATTGAAAGCTTTAAGTATCCAAAGTCAAGGATAACTAACATGCAAACATCTGGGTCAGGCAAATACAATCAGCATGGAGAACCAGACTGATCTGGGAGAAACTTACCATTTTGGAAAATCACTGCTGAAAAGGCCAATGGGCAATGTTGCTCTTTCACCTTCTGCATCTCTAGCTCTTTCATCTCTTTGTATAAACTAAATTGGTTGTAAAACTTTGCTCTTCGGCAGATAAGTGGATGTTTGTGGCCATTCTCTAACATTGCCATAGTTCAAAATTTGAGGGTGGTAGGAAATTGCATGTCTCTTAAAGACATATGCATGGGGATTAATAGGGTTTCTTGTGAATTCAGTAAGGTTTCTTTCTAGAAGTTTTGAGTTGTGTTAGGAATCTATTACAAACACCTCCATTAAAACAATATCAGCATGTAAAATATCCAAAAGTTACAAACAATATTCTAATGTACTAACCCGTTTGCTTTTTCTTTAACTTCTCCTTTAATAACAATTGTTCGTCCAGGCTCAACAGAATAATTAAGTTGTGTTGTGTAAGGAATTACCTGAAAATGAAATCCTGCAGAGTTACCTATACCAAAAATTAATAAGCTGCAATTTCTTTATATAAATCAGATATCTTGGTTTTCTAATACTTACATACCACTTGAGGCATATAATAATTAAAACTAAGACAAGGTAATAATCATTAAGGAAAAAATTAAAAATGACTTGTGCAACGTTATTCACAATTACTAATCATTTACAGTGGGGCAAAAAAGTATTTAGTCAGCCACCAATTGTGCAAGTTCTCCCACTTAAGATGAGAGAGGCCTGTAATTTTCATCATAGGTATACCTCAACTATGAGAGACAAAATGGGGGAAAAAATCCAGAAAATCACATTGTGATTGCTGAAGACTGATCTTCAGTCAGTCTCTCTCAAATTGATCCCCTATTCATATTTTAACCAATTCTCTTTCAAATACGTTTCAGGATTTGAAGTTGGTTCAATACAGGTAGTCCTCACCATCTGACCACAATAGAGACTGGAATTTAGGTCATTAAGTGATTTGGTCATTAAGCGAATTGGAGCTGATTTTATTACCTTTTTTACAATGGTCATTAAGCGAATCACTGTGGCTGTTAAGCAAATCACATGGTTTAAAGTGAATCCAGTTTCCCCAATGGATGTTTTTTGCCGTAATTTGCTTAACGACCATGTGATTCACTTAACGACCACAGTGATTCACATAATGACCATCATTAAAAGGTCACAAATCACAATCATGTGACCACAGGGGTCATAAAGCACTTTTCCCAAGGCCTCTGGCCATTGTCAAATGAATGTTCATTAAATGAGGACTACCTGTATGGAGGACACCAGATTAGGGAAGGCTGACATGAGAGTTTATAAAGACATATCCTGGTCATTCACATTATATATAACATGGTATGTAATAGTACAGGATGATGGCAAGAAAGGAAGACAACTCATATTTTACGTCTGAAGAAAAATAAAACCCTACTTGGCAACTGTTATGCCACTAGCAGAAGACAAGAGCTGTAGCTCAGGGGGGCTACCAAAATGCCCTTTTTAAATACAGGTAGTCCTTGTTTAGTGATCACAATTGGGACCAGCAACTTGGTCATTAAATAAAGCAGTCACTACGTGAAACCACAATTGTGCTTTCACAATCCTACTTCAGCTTTCCTTTGCTTTACAGACCTGCAAAGGTTGTAAATGCAAGGATTGGTCGCCAAGCTACTTCTTCATCACCATCCTAATGGTGAACAGTTGCTGTACGAGGCAGTCACTAAACGAGGATGTGTACTATTTTATCATTTTTCTTTGTTTTGCTTTAAAAAAAAACTTTTTAAAATCTTTTTATAACCATCATTTTTGTATGTATATGTATACTTTTCCTTACTGTTTTTTATTTTATTTTATTAATCAAGTTTATATAGCCACCCACCTCACTAGAAGTGACTCTGGGTGGCATACAATAATCAAGTAAAAAAACAACACATATATAAAACAAGCATTTAAAAATATAAAAGTCAACATTAAACATTAAACATTATTAAAATGAATTCTTAAAATTAATGTTTTGCTTTTTTTTTGTTGGCATGTTTTACTCAACTAATTAAAACTTCAATAGATTTTAGATATTTCAGAAATGATGTCATTGCATTTATATATAAAAGGCCCGAGTAAATGACTACGTTATTGGAGATGCAGTGAAATTAATGCTTTATTTAAATATATGTTTCTACAGTGTCCAATAATTGGGAAAGAAGTTATTGCACGCACTCAACTTTGAGGTTCAATATTTTCAGTTGTTTATATTCTTTTGAAATTTATTCCTATCACATGGGAGTTCACATCTGGACAAAGAAAGAGGATTTTCTGTACCTTACTTACAGCTAAAACCTTTATTATTGAGTATTGGAAAGTCAAACATATGGCTCCAACTATTCAGTACCAGCAATTTATGAATCAATGACTTATCAATATAGATTAGCTATGGATTGTTCCAACGAATTATAGTTTCCATTCACAGAAATGTCTACTGTACAACTTTATATATGTATATATGTCTATGAATATATCCACTGTGTGTTTTTGTTTCTTCTTTTAGCTTTCTTCTTTTCCTTCTTTTATAATTATGTGGGGGGAGGGTTGTTTTTTGTATTAATTAATAAAAGAATGGGGAAAATGAGCTGTAGCTCATGATAGACAAGGGAAGGAAAAAATATCTCTAACCTATTTTAAATTAATTCAACCAGGCCAGATGGTTTACATCAGGGTTTTTCAAACTGTGTTCCACAAAACCCTAGGGTTCCCCAAAAACTTGATAGGGTTCCGTGAGAAACTAAGGGCAACAACAACAACAAAAATTCTCTTGATGACAGCCAATTTTCTATCACTAGAAATTTTCTGTCTCTTGATCAGGGATTCCGGATTTTTCTTCTTCACTAACAGGCTCCATGGCCTGAAAAGTTTGAAAATCCCTGGTTCACATCTTACGGTACTGAAAGAACTAGCAGAGGCATTTGCAGAACTGTAATATTTGAGAACTGAAGGGCCGGTGAAGCCCCAGAAGGTTGGAGGAGAGCAAATGTTGTCCCTATATGCAAAAAGAATACAGGATACTACAGACCTCTCAATCTGACATCTGCAATAATCTGTTTAAGGACCTTGCTCAATAGATGGCATGTTTGTGAATGTTTGGATAGGAAAGCAACAATTTATCAAGAGCATACATGGTCTATCATAAACAAATTATATCATATTAAGCTTATCTCCTTTTTCAACGGAACTCCTAGCTAAATAGAAGGGGAAGCTATGGACATAATATACCCTGACCTCAATAAAGCACTACACAAAGTCTCTCATTATGTCATCATTAATGAAATAGTAAAACACAAATTAGATGATGCAACTGTTAGATGGATTTGTAATTGGCCAAATGACCACATCAAGACTAATTTAATTATTTATGGGGTATTTTAATTGTTTATGGGCTTTTGATTTTTAATTGTGGGCCGCCCAGAGTCACCCGTTGGGGGAGATGGGCGGCATACAAATTTAATAATAAATTTTAAAAAAAATAAAAAATAAATGAGAATATTCATAAATGGCTCCACATTAGCTTGGAAAGTGGTATTGCCAGAAGGCCCTTTCCTGGGTCCTGTGCTGTTCAACTTTTTCATTAATGATCTAGATGAAGGGAGTTGATGATTATCAGATACACAGTTGTAAAAAAAAACAGAAACGGTTAAGAGAAGATTCAAAAAGATCTTGACAGGCTTGAACAGTGGGTTGAAATGCACAGGATAAAATTTAACAGAGAAATATAAAGTCCTGCACCCAGGTAGAAAAAAATGAAAGGCCCAGGTCTATGATGGTCCTACTCTACTCTTCTTTGGTCAGATCACACACAGAGCACTGTGTCCAGTTCTGGGCACCACAGTTTCAAAAGGACGTTAGCAAACAAGTCTTGGAACAAGTTTAAAGGAGGGCCTCAAAGATGGTGAGGGAACTGAAAACCAAGTCCTTTCAGCAAGAATTAAAGGAACTGCATATGTTTAGCACAAAAGAAGAGTAAGGGAAAATATGATAACAGTCTATCTAAACAGCTGTTATACGAAAGAGAGAGTAAATCTGTTCTCTACCCAGTTTCAAGACCCAGCGCCTTGAAACTACAAGGAAATAGATTCAGGTTAGATATTAGGAGGAATATCCTGATGATAAGAACTGTCAAGTGGTGCAATAGGTTGCCTCCGGAAGTGGTATGTTCTCCTTCACTTGGAGGACTTCAAACAGAGATTTGACAGACCCTTCACCAAGCAGATGACTAGACGATCTTTGAGGTCACAATTCTATGTGTTTACTCCAAGGAATTCTAATATGACCATAGCAAATGATAATTGCAGAAAACTATCAGAAAAAACTTTCCTGAAGGACAATCTGAATGCAGTTACTGCTGTTTGTTAAACAGTGCTGGTTTAGTTTATACAGCATGCAGTATGATTTATTTAATACACCACGGTTTAGCAGAATTTTGAATCTAGTCACTGAGCCTTGTCAGAGGAATGACAAATCATAAATCAGGTATGCCCTAGTCCTTCCCATGTGCATCTTTGGAATGAAAAAGTTTACATTAAGATGACAAAAAAAGTTGGTGTTCCTTTATGTTCAAGTTCATTCTATAACATGTTCTAGCATTTGTATTTAGAAAGATACTTACAAACTGTGAGCTATCAGGTACATCTTCCTGTACAAAAAAAGAGACAGTTTTAAATATAAAATAACAGAACTGCAACTTTAAGCAAAGAATACATTTCCTGTGTTTATGGATGCTTGAGAATCTTGATCAACATAACTTATTAAATAAAAGACATTGACATGAATTGTGATCTCTGAATAGTCCTTGTTTAGCGACCTCAATTGGTTCTGGTGACTTGGCCATTAAGCAATGCGGTTGCTAAGTAAAAATCATGTGACAGCGACTGTGCTTACAATTTTACTTCAGCTTTTCTTTGCTTTACAGCATCAGCTAGGTGAGCCCAAACAGCAGGGAAGTTTCCAGAACTCAACTCACGAGGAAGCTAGGTAAAAGGGCGAACCTCATAGCCCTTTTTCCCCACTCCCCTGCCCTTGGAATGCTCATCCTGCTGCTAGGATAATTAGCAAGAAGGGAATTAATGTTTGTGTTTACATTCATTGGAGAGGAAGGGATTACAAGAGAGTAAGCAGGCACACAGTGGAGAATACATTGAAAGGAATGCACTAGCACCAGCTGTTTGCCTAGTGTGCTTGCAACTGCCAGCTGCTTAGGAGGCAAACAAAAGCCTTCAGTGTGAAACTGATCAGGGTCTTGTCAAGCAGTGGGAGGGTTCTAATCAACTAATTAAGGTCACACAGCTGAGCTTGTTAAGTTGTAGTTAGCACCTTTTGGGGAAGCGCTGCACTGGAGAGAACAGCAGCTCAGGAAGAGATAGTTTAAGTAATCTCTCTCCCCTGCAAGGGGGCAAAAAATGGAAAAAAAGAATGGGCCAGGCACAGGACAACACAATACCATAGTAACTGACTGTAATGGTGAACATGTGACAGAGAGAGAGATGCTGTGAAGGTTGTAAATGCACACATTGGTCACAAAGTTACTTTTTCATCACTATCATAACTGCAAACAGTTGTTGTCCAAGTCAGTCGCTAAACAAGGACTACCTATTTCACTTTGATAAAACTTAACTTAACTTTGGCTACCAGCTTTGGGTAAACAGTGTTAGACAATTCAAAACTTGTATTGTTTTGTGAACCTGAGTTGGTCCGATAGAATTATTACTAGGTTTTTGGAGCATTTCTTATAGCCAGCCTCTTCCTGAAAATGAAACTCTCCCCTTGATTAGTCTTGCACATTCCCTGTGTGTCTATATGTCTGTACAGACACACACACACACACACAGAGTGCATTATGTTTAGAGATTATTCCCATTCAAACTACTTTAGGGAGAATCTTCTGTTTGGGAGGATTTAGGGTGTTTCTATTTGTGAATAAAGTGAATGGTTTAATCCATTCTATTCATGCCATGAATTTATACCTTGCATATCAGCAGAATGTTATAAGAAAGAAAACAAGTATTTTATGTCTTATATTTAGAGCAATCCCAAAATAACGGACTGTTTCTTGTAATAACCCACCTTATTAGAAACAAATCCAATCACTGTAACTTTCACTTTTCCAGATATCGCAAGCGTGTCAATTTTTTCCAGATTAATTCTATGCTTATACAGCAACAAATGCTTTCCATTAACTGACACCTGTGAAAAGCAGCCATTTAAAATATGGATATTTTTATACAGAAGCACTGATAATCATAAAGTTTAGATAGCAAATTATTTCTAAATTACCCAAACACATTTTAAGGCATTTTATAAAAAGTAGCTTTTTATCCTTTACAATAATTAACATAGCTATTGTTTAGCAAACTATGTTTTAGAGCTGAGGTAAGCAACCCTTTGTTTGAAGGTTGCACTTCATTCCTTCTGCCCAACATGAAGGCCACAATGGGTGTGGCTGGTGATGCTACACTGACACTGGAGTGGGTATGGCCAAACTTTTCAGATCTATTTTTTAGCATGACAGAATAATAGGAACAAGTGATGATTTGAGCCTTACAGGAAAAACTCTGCCAACCCAGAGGGGGGGAAAAATCAATCCAACTCTTTGGGGGGATTCAAATTTTTAGGGGGAAGGCTTTATATCTTCAAAGATTGAAACAATCACTTGCCTCTGCAAGACTCGAAGCACCCGTTTTCAATCCAACAACAAAGGTCTGAAGTGTTCACTACCTTTGAGAGACTCTGGGGATCACAGATGGAAGGCTGGAGCCATGTGCAGCCTGTCCACTCCTAGTTTAGAGTTATGTGTGAATTAAGGGTGTGTCTTTGCACCAATCTCTAGCAGCTGGATTTCAAGGTTCTAATAAAATGCCAAAGATCGTACAAGGCTGAATCTTGCCCAGCCCTGCATTAAGACCACATCTGATGTATTACGAACAGCATATTAAACACAACATCAACCAGTAGTTTTCAGAGTGCAAGATGGGAGAAGTGGGTACTTGCAGGGAAGAAAATGCCCTTCTTTTCTATCCACATCCATCTAGAAGTCATACACAGAGTGCCATTCATTCTGAACTACATTATTCCTACATGGATCCTCTGTGCTGTACTCTTTAAAAACCGAAAACCTTCTATACATGTTTACAACCCCAGAACACCATGACCTCCACCCTTTTTACTCACATCCACCACCATATCAGTTCAAACTTTAAAAAACAGTAAGAAACTTTTTCTCCTTCCATAAGCAGGCAAAGATGTCTGATGTGTAAGTGGGATTTGATTGCTGAGTTGTGGAGTGAGGTGCAGGTCTTTGATTTTTGTTTCCTGTTTTGTTGATAGTGATTTAATTACATTTCAAGTATGTTGGATTAAATTGATTTGAATTTTTTTTTTTTGTTAGGTATCTTGCAAGTTATTAAGCAGAAATGTGGGATATATAAGCTAAATAAATGCAATATCAAAAGCACTGATCCAGAAATTATCTAATCAAGAAGATAAAATTTAGATAAAATTAACCAGTTAGTACCCCCAGTGAAATTAAAGTGACTTAAGCCTAAACTTAAATTTAACCTGTTGAAACCCATGGGAGTTCATTATATAGTTGTAGTTGTACAGAACTAGTAGTATTGCTAACTGGCTGATTAAATTAAATAATTAAATCCTAGCAATTTACCTGGAACTTATCATGGCGGACCATAAAAACTATCTCAAAAGGCTTTGTTTTTTCGAAAGGCATCTCATAAGTGATCTCTTCTGTACCCCATCTTTCTCTCTGCAAGGTATTGCATACTATGCAACCGGATCTTTTGAACCGAGGGTTGAAATGAAAGGCTACATCAGCACGAGGTTTTGTACTGTTGCCACACTGAAAGTCTACCTGGAACCTAGTAAATTCAAACACATTGGAATCAATGCAACCCTTGCTGAAGCAGCAAACAATCTCTAAAACTGGAGAACCTTACAGCTACCACCTCCATATTCCATCCCTGTTATATGAACTTAGAGCAAGATCACCAGCAGCATTCATTCCAAAATTCATTCCAATTTTGAAAAGTTATTACAAGTAGACTTATCTTAGAAACATTGTGTAAGTGTTGCTTATTTCTTTTCATATTTGTATTTCTTATCCAACAGTGTAACATGGTTTCTTGAATACTAAAATCAATTACTTTGTCCAAGCAAATATAAGTTTGTGGACTGGTTTAACAAAATAATGTAAACACTTTCATCAGCAAATCTGTGATCCAATATGAATTAATCATTATTATTGTAGGGAAACATTCAATAAGTTACAATATTTCTCAAAAGCCTTCATTTCACAAAAGAAAGATTCAACCATTTCAATAAATGAACAAATATATATTGTGTTTGCCTGCAACATCCTTACATAATAGCTTTTAATAAAACATACATTTTCAATTTTACCTCTCTGAACCTTCAGGAACAAATCCACTTATTACTACAAGATCTCCAGGTGAAAGACCATCAATTAGTGTCCCAGCATATGGAATAACCTGTTTTAAAAGAGAGAATATGAAATTTCTAGCCTTACAACTTAAAGGGGAAAATCAATTTTACACAATTTTTATGATTTTTCTTTAACCTAGATAGAGTAAAATAATACTGCAAGAAGAAACATTAGCCATTAGCATGATCTACCAGTTTAATTAGTTCAGACAATCTCTTCCTAAAGATAATTCCTAAGATTCGGAATCTCTAAATCAAGATGCGGACATGCAAGATCAACATTTCTCTGATTTAAGCCATTCATCTTCATTGCACAGCTGACAATAAAGGAGTTGGACTTGCAAGCAAAAATAAATAGCTGTGTGTGGTTTCAGGCCTAAAATTATCCTAAACCAAAGAGTTGCACAACAAATTTGAGCAGGCAGGATTTATAGTCCATATTTCTGCTCTGAATAGAAACTCTACTGCAACTTTGTCACCCCTTATTCTCCTCATCTGCTTTCTCCAACCTCTCACTTCACAAGCCCCCTTTCTTAAGGTAGACTGGGGTCAACAAGGAAGAAGAGATAATTACTGGGCTCTGGACTGTCTTGTGAAAATTGTGCAAAGACATCATTTTCTGTCTTCTCAGCTTTAGAAGTTCTTTAGGCTCTGTATGATCCAATCACAAACAATATCTGAAAGGTAAAGTTGTAGAGCTTTAACTGAACGTTAGTTGAGAGAACCATTAAAAGAGACACCAAGGAAATGTTTGGGAAGGAGAATATGACAGAAGAACCTTTGTTACCTTTGAGTATGAAGGTATCTGGAGGAGAACAGATGTAGACTATTCCTGGAGACTTAACGTTCCAATATTAGCCATGGCATTGACTATGAAGAGCCCAGGTCACCTTAAAAATCCAAGCCTTTCAATCAGTATGGGCTGCTATCCCTCCATAAACCAAATTCTGAAGACCTTCTGGAATAGTTCCAAGGAAGGGATACTTTAAAAATGCTCAAAACTTAAATTGCCTCATGCTTAAGCATGCTGAGCAAAAGCTCAGCAAAGAACTCAGAGAAAAAGTCATCACAGCCACTAGTACAAGTATAGTGACAGGTTTGTTACAAAAACCACTATGAACTTCTAATTGCCATACATGAACCTGCTTCTGTTGCAGGTAGACCTTATGCCAAGCTGATGCCAGTTACATCTTTCACTCAAGTGCAGCTGCATATACCCCAGGCACATTGGGACTGCTTCACATGGAGGAGTTGTACATGTGAAACAGTCCCAATATTTAGCTTTCCTGGAAGGGGGGATAACCAGCACCAACCATCCATCACCATGGGGTGAGGATCATCAGTATGCTGATAACACCCAATTATACATTTCTGCCCCTGGCAAATTAAGCAATACCATGGACATCTTATCCTGGTGCTTGGAGGCTGTGAGGGTCTGGATGGGGAACAACAGGCTGAACCCTGGCAAGACTTAGTGGCTTTGCGTTTTGGGGCCTGCTGGTCCTACGACTACACCATCTTTGGTGCCGGATGGGGTTGCATAGCCCCTAACAGACCTGGTGCACAGTTTGGGGATCCTTCTAGACTCACAACTCCTGCTCAAAGAGCAGGTGGCAGACGTGGCTAGGAGGGCCTTTGCACAGCTTTGAGTTGTGTGCCAGTTATAGCTGTTCCTAGATCAGGAGGCTCTGCTCATAGTCACTCATGCCCTAGCCACCTCCCAATTGGACTACTGTAATGCGCTCCACATGGAGCTGCCTTTGAAGAGTATCTGGAAGCTTCAGCTGGTTCAAAATGCAGTGGCGTGGGCTGTTATGTGTGCTTCTAGAACAGCACGTTACACCTCTGCTCCGCAAGCTGCACTGGCTGTTAGTCAGCTTCCAGGTCCAATTCAAGGTGCTGGTTTTGATCTTTAAAGTCCTTCATGGCATGGGCCTGGGTTATTTGAGGGACCACCTCTCCCCAGTTACATCTCCCTGTCCCATCAGATCCAGCAGAAGTATGGTGTGGGTCCTGTCTGCTAGAGAACTACGCCTGGCAGGATGCAGGGGGTGCGCCTTGAACATCCTCCCCTCCCCCCAAAGTGAGGCTGGCTCCATCCCTGTTGATTTTCCAGAACTTGGTTATGTCTTTTTTTCCCTTTCTTTTTCCTGGCACTTTTTACTCCTTCTCTATATTCTCTTTTCTTTCTTTAAGTTAGTTTGTATTAGACTTTACTATTAGAATCAAAATTCTTAATTAAAAAAAAACAATTTGGTTATGTCCTCAGGCCTGGGGGCCCCAAGGGACCAGCGAGGTACTGAGGTGGCTCCGTTGCTGTTGACATATGCTACCTTCTCTTAGCCCTTAATCACAATTTTTAAATTTTCTGGACTATATATTTTTTTGATATTACTGTTTTACAGTTTTATTGTACAATGCCAATTCACTCTTTCGTGAGATGGGTGGCCATATAAATTTGATAAATATTGTATTTTTTTTTTCCTCACTGGGTGGACAGCAACTTTCTACAAGGGTTCATTTTTCTCCATAACTTTATCCCAGGTGCCGGGTTTTAGGCATGGTTAATATCAGCTAACTGTCTTCCCTACACTCAGCTCTCCAGGCCATTTTGCCATAGAGCAAAGATTCAGACACGATCACAGGAGTTCTTCATTACCACAACACATTATAAAAGTAACTTGTGAGGAACCGCGTGGTGCTGCATCATCTTAGCTCCAAAGCCAAGGGAGACACCCAGTCAACCCCCTCCAGAAGGAAGTGAAATCTTCTGGCTCTCTTAAAGGAAAATTACAATATTACATTACAGTCCCCTCTAATCTTTAATAAACAGGATAGCTACTGAAGTCAATTTCCCAGTCAAGCCCCTTAAGCCATTTTCTTAAAAAACAACCACACTGCACCAAGAGGCTAGATAATATCGAACTACACTGCAGGATTGTTGTGCACTAACCCTCTCCCCGTAAATGGATAAAACAATACTGTACTAGGCAATTTCACACTCTTGCAGCCACTGCAATACTGGTATTAGAATAATAATGAGCGTCTTTGTCTCCACATTGCCAGGATCATTAACAAATAACGGAAAGATCACAACCACCACCCTTTGCTGGCAATACGGTACTTGTTTGAATAGATAGGTGTGCCACCGCCTAATCACAGCTACAAAAAAAAAACCCTACATTTAAAAAATAAATAACACTTCTCAAAGACCCAAACCGGGCTATTTCCCCATAAATTAAACCGGCAGACTATTTATTGGAAATTCTGCTTTCCCTGATCCTGCCTGGCCCTACAAAAAGCGAGAGAGATTTATTTTTAAGTTCCAGCTAATTTCTGCCATTACCCCAGGCAGACCCCGGGCTCCAACTCACTGAGACCAACTGAACTTATTTTCCACTGGATGGCGCACGGTCCACAATGTTTTCTAGTTTCCCTTCGCTTCATCCGCCTTCCCATCCGTCCATCCCAGACCAGATAATTACTCCAAGTACTCCAAGTACTCCACGTTCCAGCTGCACCTTCTTCCTTTTAACTCTCTGCAGCTGCTCCACCGTAGGATGCCCTCAGGTTCACTCAGCTCCGCGCGCTCTTCACCTTCCGGCAGAAACCGCAATGGTTGCTTTCACTTCGCATCCACGACGCTACTGATGCTATAGTGCCTCTACGGTTTAAAATGGTGCCTCGGCATTCTTCCTTTTCCTGGTTCACAAGATCCCGAACAATGACATCATCTCATTCAGTCACGCCCTCCCACACTTAAAGGAACAGCGTTGGATGAAACTTTGGGCAACAATTTGCAAAGTGTTTGACCGGTCCTGGAAGAAGAATTAACCAAATCCTCAATGGCTGGGACTTTGAAGAAGCAAGAAAGGAAGAGTGTTGACACCTGTGAATTTTGGTGTTGGAGAAGACTCCTGAGAATACCATGGATGGTCAAGAAAACAAGCCGATGGATCATTGAACAAATCAACCCAGAGTTCTCACTCAAGGCTCAAAAGACCAGGCTCAAATTGTCCTACTTTGGACATATTATGTAAAGACCCAGCTCTCTGGAAAAGGCTCTAATGCTGGGAAAGGTGGAAGGAAAGAAGACAACCAGCAGCAAAGTAGATGGACTCATTTACAGTGGCTATGAGCACACCCTCGGGAGTCTGTGTGTCGCTAGGAATTGAAAATGACTTGATGGCACATAATCAATCAGTCAAAGGCCTCCCCCGTGTTTAGCTAAATCAGGTGCTCTACTCTCCTGTAGTCTTCTATTTAAGCACGTTCATGTGTTTTCCAACATATTTGTATCGCTTTAATGATGGCACAAAAGTAGATTGTGGAAGTTTAGCTCCCTCCCACTAGAACTCCTATCCTACAGAAATCGCTTTCAGTTTAACAAGGTTTTGCAAGAAAATTTAATTTGTTTGTAAGGGGTAGGTGAAAACCTGCATGTACCAGCAGTGGACCTTCTTCATCATCAGAGCCAGAAATGTTGCCCTATTCTGTGTAATGCAGAGATGGGTTATATTTATTCTGGGACAGCTGCTTTGAATACACGCTGAGACACCACTGCAGACGAGGTCAGGGATGCTGTTTCAGATTTGAAAGCTGGAGTAATACATTATTAATGTGGTGGCCAGAAATAAATACATCTTTGAAGCAGGGTCAGAAATAGTCTGAAATGCAGGGAGAAAATTATTTTTCTTTTCCCACTAGTCATTGAATTGGCAGCTTTGCAGTAAACCAGCTGAAAAGAACTGTAATTGGGTGGGTTTGTACAGCATGCTAAACCATGATTTCCAAACCACCATTGCTGGGTTCACATAACACTCTTAAGCCAAAAAACTCAGACTGCGTATCACAACTTATCTTGACTGTGAACAATCCAGTGCATAGCACTGTTCAGATGCACATGATTTTTATTATTTTTATTCTATGCTTTTTTCTAAGGACCTTGGAACACTGATCTCCCAATCATTTCATTCTCAAAATACACCTGTGAAGATGTCTAAACCTGGAGACAATGGTGGATCTAAATCATCTTCATGCTTGAGTAGGGATTTGATCCTAGATTTCCTGGTGTTATTCCAATGCCTAGACTGCAATATCTCTAATGATCACTACATTACACAGAGTTCGATAAGCAGGTCTAAACTCATACCTTATAAGCTCTCATCTTATTTAGCTAAACTTTTTTTTCTTCATACATTTTCTGCAATAGTCTACAGAGCCAGACATTCCTTTTAATTTCCTCTACAATTTAAACCATAGAGGTTTTTCTTCATAACTCTAATGTAGGTTTCCATATCTGGTTGAAAAAATATATTTCCTCAAGCTGACTTGCTGCTTCTGGTATGATTTGCAAACTTTCACTGCCTATCTCTTTGACAGCCCCTCTTTGGGATAATTCTAGTAAACACATTAGCATTTATTTGATCCTATAATCTGAACATAGCAAAAATCACTGCAAGGATCTTTACCTCATCTGGTTCTAAGATTATATTGAAATACAATGCTTTGCAGAAGAACATCATGCACAAAATAAAATGTAATGGGTTACAAACATGAGAGTCGCTTCCTTCTCATGGACATGTGAACAGAACCGTGTGTGAGAAACTATCAGCACTACTTGATATAGCAGCACTCAGTGTAACTACAGGGTTTGCTGCAGAATATCAGCACTTAGCCAGCCTTGGCTGATCTTGAAAAAACCCAGCCAGGGAGACCTAATTGGATGCTTGGATGGGAGGCCACCAGAAAATCTCAGGGAGATTTAATTAATCATTAATTAAGCATTTCAAAACAATATCTGCTTATACAATTGTCTTCTCTGAGATGAAACAGGACAACTAGCAGTGATTGATCATAAGGTGTGGTGACATACTGTATACATTGCGGTGGGTCACTGAGAAGAGGCTGAGCTCTGTAGACAGCTATCACAATCCAACAGAACTCTTTTGTCTGTAAGTACAAGGGGGGAAAGTCTACCTTCTATTGTCAGTGAGATGGTAGAACTCTGAATCAAAGGCCTTCATTTTAATAAACCCCACTATATTCTAAACTTGAGTCCAAACTCTAAGGTTGCACATCTTCTGATGTTAGTCTTTTAATGACTGAAATGTATGTCTTAAATAGTTACAACAAAGTAGTTCAGAAAAGTAACAATAATGCTCTTAGTAAAAAAAATAATAATAACAAAACTAGTGGAAAAACAGTTTTCTTCTACTAACACTGTATATCAAAACATGTAACAAATATAGTAGAGATTGATGATACATACAGAACAATGCTTTGAACACAGATGGATTACAGAAAAGGAATATTTTAATAAGACTAGAAGTTTTAAAATTCAGCATACTACTACAATCCCAGTAATAGAAGTAGCTTAATTTTCAAGCATTAAGAGCTACAGCTATAAAAAACATCTATTACAATTAAGTATGCCTGAGTTAGTAGAACAGCCTAAAAGCTCAATTCCCCATAAGTGTTCTTCCTGCTGGCAGCACTTTTTAGTCCAATTTTCAGTGACATTTTCCAGAGCATATCATGTCTGAAAATGATGTTTCAACTGAAAGCCCATGTCTCTTCAAACTTGAAATAGATGCTTCTTAGGAAGCACATTTAGGAGTTTAGATTTTAGGGCTGAATTCCTTACAATGCAGATCTTGAACTCACATTTTCTCATTAGCTGTACTCTAATGCGTGCATGCAACACTTCTCCATCCCAGCATAGTGTGTTTCATTTGCATTTATGGTTATCTGTAATGAGATCAAACAATGTCTGAGTTTAACTCCGAGCTGGCTTTCTGCCTACATTATTGCTTGCTATATAATCAATGTGTGCTCACTATGCCAAGCGACTCTAATTCATTTAAAGATTAGTTTCTGATAATATTTTAAGGGTATCCCTAAAGTTTATTAATAGATTGTTCATAATATTTTATTATAATATTGTAGAGAAGATAAGTGCTTTGTAACAGCCTGGAGTAACACTAGTTCTCAAACTGTCTCTGAAAACATGTTTGAACATATCTTCTAATTGCTAGAGGGAATGAGCAATTCCAATTAACGTAATCACTCTTAAAATATTTTAATATATTACCCACATTTGAGATCTAACCACTTCAAATCAAAGGCAGATTGAGATTCTGCACACTCTGAAAAAAAACACCAACCAAGGATTGGATCTTGATAATTCTGTGATTTAAGTACACACTGTACAGGATTCTATCTGTCTTAAAAGGTGATGCAAATACACTTAATTAATATGCTGTTTTTAATAGTTTCCCTAAAATTATTAAATGGGTTGAAACACAGGTTGTTGCAAACATTAAAAGATCAGCTTTTATCAATCATCTCAGAACTGGAAAGATTTCAATGATCCCTAACATGGTAGATAATTTAAAAATGCAGTCCTAAATCAAGGGACTGTACTTCTTGATCAGAGATTTCAATACAGCAATTAAGCTGACACAATTAACTGTGTAACCTATTAAAAAAGGATTTGAAGTTACAGACAGGTTTCAGAGTTGTGAGATTTTAATTTTTAATTTTTAATTATTTTAACTTGAATCTTAAGATCAGTTTGGTGCAAAGGGGTTGGTGCCAATTACTTATTATTTGCCTGAGGCACCATCTCCTGGGAGGATCCACATGTGCAAGTCTACATTTTAGTTACCACATGTAAGATATTCTGATAGCCTAGTTTAGAAAAAGGGAAAAATTGTTGCTGTGATAAACATCCTTGGCCTGGTATATTCCAGATGATTTGGGCTATAATGACCAATGTTCTTGCAGTTGAGCACTGTGGCCCAACACATCTGGAAGATACTGGGCTGAGGAAGAATGAAACAGGGAGCCAAGAACACTTGCTGATCTACCACATATTTGATCTACATTCTACTTATCCTGGCTTTAAACTGTGATAGAGACACTGAAATTGCATTAGTATATACAAATTGATTAGGTATTCCTTGTCAGCTCCAGATTTGGTCAACATTTTATAGGATGTCTTCAGGAAGTTTTTCCACCCACCTAGCTCCACCATTTTTAAAAATTATTGTTGCTCCCATTCATACACTTGCTTTTTCTCTTTGGGTTCAGTCTGTACTGGGTGTGTGTGTGGATTCTTCATTTTCATCACTCAGAGATGGCAGGAAAATGGCAAAAAGCTGGGGAGGCATAGGACAGAGTACACTGTTCTGGCAGTTGCCTAGGGTGCACCAAAATCGAAGAGACTTCTAAATTACACAATGTGAGTATTAAATCTGATAATCTTTCCTTGTTGCTTCAGCACCTTTTCTTTCCACACTTTTCAAAAACTTATTCACAAAGTCAGTCGAGCGGTAGTGAACAGCACACCAACCAGGCATTGCAAGTCACAAAAAGAAATTATTATTACAACTATGGGCCTCAGGAAGCTGATAATATTACCAAAGCAAGACAAAGGTCTGATAGATACTGAGCGAGTGAGTCATGTGACTATCAGCTTATCGAAGTTATACCCAGAAAAGCAGTAACAGCGCACTCCGTACATCGGCACACCCACTCGAGTGTTAAATATAATCATAGGGGGCACAAGAATATGACTTTGCCTAGGGCACCAAAATGTCTAGAGTCAGCCCTACTAGAAGATGCCCAACAATGCCAACATCTAACGTTGGCTCCAAATATTCCTATACTAGATGATTAACAACATATGGCTTATTTCTGTACTGTTCATATATATATTTTTGGGTATCAAGGTTCCCCCCTCTAGAATGTGCTGATCTGATGAAATCATGTGAGGATGTCCTAATTCTGATCTAGGGCATCTTCTGTTCTCTGCTGGTTTATTTGTGAACAAAGGCAACCTGGGAAAGGGTGGAACAGGACCTAGTTCACAGGTACATGCATGGACTATTCCTCGAAGAGGAGCCCCCTTTTCCCTCCTGTCTTTAATTCCCATACAGTTTCCAGTGAGAGAGGAATACAGGACCAAGGCTGCTAAACAGAAGTAGCTGATTACACAGCTATCCTATATAGCACGCTGATAACTTTCATTCTTCTCTTGTTGCTTGGAAAAATCTGAGAAGATTGAAGACACCTGTGAAAGACATTGATCTGATTTGTATGTAGAGGTCATTCTTGTCACTACAAAGGCTAAGTACGTTAACAGTTTATGCTGTAAAAATAAGCATGGGTTTCTTTCCCTAGCAAAAAAAGTTCTATACACACCAGTAGTAAAGTCAACCAAACCCCATGATTCTTGGTTTTCTGCCATTGCCATTTTTTCTCCTTTACAAGTTTTTCTGATAGGTCCCACACCCTCTCTTTGGCCATTCTTTCTCCACCCATTTCTGCAGAATTTTCTCAATATCAACTCTTTGATATAATTTACAGAGATCAATCAGCTGCTCCACAGTTCTGTCACTGTTCCGTAACAAAAACTCCAAGGTGGGACTCTGTTGTTTCTGTTCCAGGAAACACAACTCATCATACGTCATTCCCCATTTGCTTGCAAAGTTTCTCCAATTTTTCACTGTCGGGTGGGATGGATCCAATTTGATCCTCATCATATACAGCAAGTCCTCATCATTTAGCAGGTCACTGATGGTTGGTTGGTGGGATGTACACAAAAAGCAAGACCCATTTTCTGTACATGACTTCTTCAGAGCTAGAATTACAATTATATTGGGGAATTATTCCTCTGTTTTCTGGTAGATAAAATTCTATGATATGGTTTAGATGTAATGAGTCTTGTCTTGTCCAATATATTACGATTTTTTAAACTAAACTGTATCCTTAGTCATTTTCACCATTCCCCCTCCCTTCCGTTCTCTTGTTGCATGTCCGTTTGAAGCAAATCTTTGTTTCTTAAGCTACAGTTTCCCATGGGAAACTATATCCTGGATATAAAATTATGGCTTTTGATATATGCATTGAACCAGTGGTTGCTACTCTGAAGAACAATGTGTTCCACCAACTAATGGAGGCAATGAGTTTTATTTATGCATAACACAAAGAGCACATAGGAATGTGAAACTCCTTTATAATGAGATCGTGATGATTTTTTTTTTTTTTTAATACTGTCCCTCCTGGGTAAGAAACTAATTGAGACAAGCATTATCAATACTCATGAGAGCAGCTTTCCAAGATTGCAAAGAAAAATGTTTCTTGCACTTCCTGGACAAGGTGTTTTGAAAATTGAAACTGCCAGAGGCTGAGCCCTGGATGATATACAGGTAGTCCCTGGGTTAAGAATGCCTGGTTTAAGGACAACCCATAGTTAAAAACAGAGCCTACTGTAGCAAAATTCGAGTGAAATACACAATTCAAGTTAAATATACAATGGTTCGATTTAATTACACAATACTACTTATACAGTATTATACAATAATACTGTTTCAGCTTACATACAAATTTAACTTAAGGACAGACCTTGGGAATGGAACTTGTTCTTAAACTGAGGACTACCCGTACCTGCAAAGCATGTGCTTTATTATTTTGCTGAAGCCACCTGAATGAAAAAAGTGGGCAGATTATTTTATAATGCAGGGCTGTGCAACTTGGGGGGAGGGACAAGTTGCCCTTTATATTTGGCTTATGGAGGGTTGTACCACTGAAAGAAATGCATGTGGCACGGGTACAACTATGGCTGGTAACCTACTTTACTCTTTCTATATTTTACTAAGCATTACATTAAAACCTCAGTCAACCAAAGCCATGATGGGCAATTCAGGTCAACTTTCATGGGCTCATCTGTCAATTACCATGGTATTATGACTTGAAATGTAAGAGTAGTAAATGGTAAAGAGTATGAATTAACAAATACAATGAAAGAAGAAAAATATGTATTGTATGTCAATGAAACTAAGAGAAAGGGGAAAAATATGATAAATCTGAATGAAGGTGATCTCAACTTGTTGAGTGGAATATGAATGCATGCAGGGAGGGGAAGATATATGTTCAATTATGAATGAAATAACTACAGTAAAGTCTCGTTTAACCGACCTTCACTTATCTGACATTCCGTCTTATCCAACGCCCCTAAAAACAACACAGCAACACGCATAAATTAGTGACGAGAAAAGTGTGCCGCTTGTTTGAGAGCATGAGTGTACTTTCTTGTTGCTCCTGACGGTGCAGCACCGCAACGCAAAAATCGATTGCAACAGGCACAGCGGATTCGGTTTTTTTTTTTTTACTAGCACTCAATCGTTACTGTGTGTTATCCAACATTTTCGCTTATCTGACGTTCTACCGGCCCATTTATGTCAGATAAGCGAGACTCTACTGTAATATGTATTTTAAAAAAGTGTGATCTAGACTGTGGTGGTTCTGCATGAAAGTAGGAATTCATAGACTGATGATATCTCCATGTTACACTCCACTGAATGGTGATAATGGAAGAACTGTTCAGTTTGGGAAAAATTGTGCAATTTTCTGAATAAAAGTGATCTAGGAGAAGGTATTATTCCGTAAGATGATATCATGAATGGTGGGAATGAACTGACAGAGTACAGGAAAAATGATGAGGCCATTTGGAGACCTAAGAATGAATTAGAATAGATTGTTTGGTGAATAACAACTTTAAAAAGGCTGCTAGTTTCAAATATGAGAGTTAAGCATGACTATTCACATGTACATATGGTAAAGGAATGGATATTAATCTAAAAGCATGATTGATTTGATGGCTCATGATGAAAAACTGAGAGAATGAGTAAAAGATACAAGGGTGATTATAAGTTCTGAATGTGGCACAGACCATTT